ATTCATTTAACATGAACATACTCAAAAGATAGTTTCAATAGCATTTGGTACTTGCGCTGTACCAAATGTGAACCCGGGATAACAGTCTTCATATAATATGATTCTATATCTCATCCTAGTTTAAATGACTTCAAGTACAATATGGGATGAATATTGATAGAGGATGTGATCAACTGTTTGTGCCCCCCTGCCCTCAAAAAAGAGATGTAAATCTGTAACGTTGTAACAAAAGACTTTTCGTAAAGTCAGCACCAGGGCAGCTTCCCATCCCACGAAACTGCTTTAATCAAAAGTATAGTTCTCTTGACATTCGAAGAGCTCAGAAAAATATTTGTGGTAATCATTTATCCCTCACATTTTTTTTTTTACACAGTGAATTTAAGGTGTAAGCATCATCATAGCACCAGCTGACCAACCCCTGTGTCTTGGTGACTAGGAGGTGGCGCCTCACGTGAGAGCAATCCACCCAACTCGTGATACATTTAGAAATTTACAGTTATTAAGTTATTGAGAGATCATATACACCGTATCCTCAGCACCGTTTCTTAGGCAAGTGTGTATGTGTGTGTAATGTGGGCCATGTGTCATGGTTAAAAAGTAAAATGGGCCCTGTCCCTGCCCCTGCACCAATCAAACTACTGTTAGCCATGATGTGTGTGCCATATAATTACCGTTACAAACTAAACACCTGGTGTCTTCCACAGGGACGTTGTTGACTTTTATGCCAAGTGCAAACTTACTATCATGAGAACTAGGTTAGATAATTATGACAGATACATCTAAACAAGCAGGGAAGCAACCTCTTACCTGATAGTCTAACACAACTGACAAAGATTGCGGTTGTTTTAATACTTGCTAAAACATCACCCGCTGATTCACCTTAGACTGGCTCTGCAACCGCCACTCCTACACATCCAGAACACGTGGCTCTGGTGGTTCAGCTATCGAGGGCAACTCTACTGATATCACAGGACTACTTCAAAATAATGGGAAATACACTCATTTGAAGAGTGATAGCACTTAGCTTAGCATAAAAACTGAAAAGGCAGAAACAGCTGGTTTCCCTCTGTCCAAATGTAACAAACTCAGCTTATGAGCTCCTCTAAAACTCACTAATAAACATTATATCTCATTGATTTGACCCATAAAGTATTAAAACATTATGTGCTGAAGTATATCTTGGCCACAAGTAGCAACTTCCTGACTCATGTAACGTGTTAACTAGTGAGATTTTGAGACATGGGTAGGCTAGCTGTTTTTCCCTGTTTCTAGACTCGATGCTAAGCTAAGCTAACCAGTTGCTGGCTCTGGCTTTCATATTTTAAATACAGACATGAGAGAGGTATCAATCTTCTCATCTTAGGCTTTACAAGCAAGCGAATAAGTGTATTTCCCAAAATGTTGAACTATTCCTTTAAAACACACAGCACATACCAGGTTTATGGCTACCTATTTAGATTTGTCCTTAGCTTACTGACAGTAGACCATCATTGAGTACCATATAATTGCAGTTTGGATATTTTTCAGGATTAAATTGAAATATTTTTCTTACGTTGTCGACACCTGCTATAAAAATGTCAAAACAAATTCATTGTTGCCAAGTAGACAAGCTTCTCTAAACCCTCTACAATTCATACTCTTCATAGAGGTTTTGGTCAGACAATTGTAACGTGAGAGATCTTCTTGTTTTGAGTGTTGTAGGTGAGTAAATCAAGTACGGTGTCATGTTAGATAATTGGGCTAATGAATTTGTTTTTATAAAGTGACAGGTCTCTGTCAGTTACATGCTGACATGGGGTACAGTACTTAAGAAAGCAAAACAGCAGTGTTACTAAGCACACATTTAAACACAACACATTGGGTCCACGTGTTGTTTACTGTTGTTAAGGGCTGTCAGAGACTTAAAATACCCCTTGTCATTCATGGTTTAGTTACTATCCTCACCAGTTAAATAATCTTACCTAAATATTTTAATATTTACATTTTTTTCATCTCTCTCTTGAGAAAATTAAAAAAAAAAAAAAAACGAAAACCTAAGCTTCAAGTTGTCAATAATCGGCTCTTTCTTTTTGTCATTAAAATCAAGATTAAAAGTGCTTTTATAAATCTTTTCTTCTGTATGTACAATTTGTATTAGCTATATAAAAAAAGATGAAAAAAACATCAAGACAATCATTATCATCATCACCATGTAGTAATAAATAAGAGTAAAAAAAAAAAAAAGAAAAAAAAAAAAGCAGGTTAAAATGAGTGTGGAGATCTAGAGCACACAAAGGGACATATGTATGATTCTCTGCCCTCAGTAGCAAGTTGTGATTGTGACCAGTGTCTCTACAGCGTGAGGTAGAGAGCTGGAGACCCTCGGGAGAGGTAACAGGGTCTTTCACAGATGACCAGGGCCTTGACCCAAATAACCACCCAGTAGCCAGGAGTCAGCCTGTGTTAAGTCCTACCACTCACTCATTTTCATTTTCATCACATGTTGCAAGTGAAACATCTGAACTTGTCAAAGAGTCACATGGTTCATGGAGAGAAAATAAAAATGACCGATTCACCGGACTCTATCCAGGTGTTCAAATAGTCTCTCTCTTTGGCTCTTCTCTTTCACACACACATGCATATGTGTCATGTTCAGACACACACACACACACTCTCACACACACACACACACACACACACACACCACACACACACACACACACACACAAAGTGAGAGAATCATTGACTCAATGCGTTTGCATTTGTGCCAACTCTCAGAAGCTACAGTAATGATCTCCCTTTAACTCTTAGTACTATTGTTTTCTCTTTGAGTGAGTTGCCAAGAATGCATTGAATGACTGTGCTTTCTCTTCCCTGTACAGTGTAAGTTTGTTTGAGACAAAAACAACTTTGCCACAATAAACTGCAAAAGCACCTCAAAAGGGAACCAGTGACAGAGCTGCAACCATGGAGGCGGCCACTTTGATTGGCAGGCTCTGTGGTGACCAAGGTGCCTGCAGAAGGACACGCCTCGCTCTGCTCGAAGATGACAGCACCATGCAGAGGAAGAGGTGGGCCCTTCACAGTAAATCAAGTGTAATAGGAGAGCACCAGAGTGTGTCTAGGAGCACCGAAAGCACTGCTATCCCAACACTGTTTCATTCTGCTCTAACCCCGGACGAGCTTCCCAAAGGCATCTCCAGGCCTCATTCACATCTGTGCCACAGTGGGACAAACATTAACTTCGCCTTGAGCTGCTTTGGTGAGGACCATCCATGGTCTGCAAAAAGGGTGACACCCCCCTCTACTGGCCATTGATGGTCAGAGCAGGAAGCCAAGGCTCTGCCGGCTGCTGCATGGATCTCAAGTGCTTGTAGGTTTGTTTGTACACACCGCTTTGAAACGGCAGTCGCTGCTGCCCTCTAGAGTTTACACTGGGAAGTGCTCACCCCTACTTGAATGTGATAGGAAGATAAAGAGTGCCACCTGTTACATCTCTCTGTGGTAATAGCTGATCTGGGTCAAATGGCATTTGGAAATAGTATCAGTCATTTTAGCCTCTGTGGAATACCAAACGTGCAGTTCTCCACACAGGAAAACAAAGCATGTAAGATAATTCATTATTCTTTTCTTTGAGTGATAAATTTCCTGCACTTCATGTCTTGAAGCAAATAAATCTTGTCTCATCATTCTGGTACTCCACCTCAGTCAAAACAGAAAATATTTACTTTCAAATGCTACTTGAGCCAGATGTGAGCACCTAAGTACAGCATCAAGTGCCATGAATAGTAGTGGAATGAAAATCGATCAGAGCTGGAAGTTGAGCACCAGTCGGAAGCTGGAGGGGTGTAGAAGAGGAGGAGGAGGAGCACATCATCTGACGACAAGAGGAACAGCAATGTTTCTTTCAGTGGGATTTAAAGGGTAATGGTGATTACTTTTTTTTCTCCAACATTTTGCATCAGAATGATTGAATTAGTTTATAACTGTGGAGCTCAGTTTTAGCCTCTGCTCTCCGAGACACACTGAAACCCAACGCCACTCTTCTGCTGTTTTCTATTTGGAAGATATTTTTATATCTTTTACTTGTTACTGTAGCCATATCAAAAATATATGATGGATTGTATCATCACAAATTCAACTGATAATTTGGACATACACTACACTGCTTTGACAGCTGACCTTGGTGGAAACCTGTACTTCCTTTCCTTCTTTCCCTCGTCTTGTTTAACCATGTGTGTGGACATTTTTTATAATAATAGAAAAGTAGACTTGTGTGTTAGTCAGCAGTGGTGCTGGTAAACTGACTCGATGTCAGTCTTTAAGACTAAATTTGAACACAGTCATCATAATGGCCAAATTCATCATAAATGGAATTATCCTTTATGGAGGCCTAAACTAACCTATTTAAAATAAAGATAAAAATCTGTATATTGCCAATAGGGAGAAGGATACCTATGGAAAGCCTGCTGGAAAGGCTTTTTATATGAGGTCACATGATGACTGCAATATTGATTTGCTGTCTTGCCAGGCAAACAATGGCTCCTCCTCTAAGCACAACTGGAAAATTGACGAGAACAAAAAAATAATCAAACAGAAAGTAGGGTACACGTTTTCCAAACATGGAAAAAGCAATTGTTTGAGTCTAACTCACTCAGACTGATTGATTTTAAAAAAATATATAACCAAAAACAATCACATCATTAATAACATTAATGAAAACAGCAATAATAAAAAAAACAAAAACAAACAAGTCTTCATTATAATAATACCTGTAATAACAACATTGACAGTAACAATAGCAATCATAATAATATTGATAATAATAGCAATAATTAGAATCATTAAAATTCTATAAACAAGAAAAAGCAATGGAGTTCCTCTCCAGGGAAGAGAGAGGAAGAGCACCACAGGCAGTGTGTCTGAAGCCCAAACCACTGCCTGACATGAGGTAAAAAACAATAAAAATGTCCCCTCCTCCAAGTGGACCGTGGAGGGGGCAGGATGGAGAGATGCCAGACTGCGAGATGGCTGAGAGACATTCATCCTGCTCATCGCTCTCTCCAGCCCTTCACTGCACCACTCTGTAGCTATCAGTCTGTGTGTGTCTGTCTGACCTCAGACAAAGTGGCTGTAGGGCCCAGTGAGGCGGGTGAAGGCATAGGGAGACACAGTAACCATAGAGGTTGTTTGGAACGTGGGGGCTAACCGCGTCACCGGCCCCTCCCTCTTGTCTTTAGATTGTCCAGGTCCTGGACTGGCACCTGCCACCGTAGCCCCCCACTTGCGTTTCTTCCCTAGGGCCTTGATGTCTTCCTGGGAGAGGCCAAGGAGAGCCGCTTCCTGCTGCCTCTGCAGTGCTCGCTCTGCCAGCAGCTTCATTTTGGCCTCCCACAGAGCCAGGCCGTGCATGGGCTGGTTGAGGTTCTTGTGCTGGTAGAAGACCAGGGAGATGCGGGTGGGGTGGGAGCGATCGGGCTTTTTGAGTGGAGTGGTAGCATGTAGTTCCCGACGGGCACATTCAATCAGGATGGAACCATGGGCTGGTGCTACCGCTACACCACCGATATTGGGATCCAGGAAGTTGTGCTCGCTGTCAGACCACACCTCATCCTCGTCCTCTTCCCGACCCCTGATGCTCTCTACGTCACTGTCAGCTCGCCTGGGGCCCCAGCAGGCCTGATCCGACTGCTGCAGGGCATCAGGGAAGAGCCGGCCCTCTGGGGCAGGGGATGGGGTACTGCCTGCCACTGAACCTCCACAAGACTTCCAGGCCTTCTCTTGGAGCCCAAGGGGAGTGGAACACCGACTCTCCCCGGTCTTGGACCAGATTTTGTCAGGGTAGGCTCCTGCAGGATTGCTGTGCTTCAAACCAGGACTATATGCAGCAGGCCCCATGGCCCAGGCATTCGGCTGAGGACTAGGAGCAGGGCTGGCCCAGTGCCTGGGGGTGCTTGGGCCAGGAGTACCTGGCTGTGGTGTAACAGAGCCTGAGTGAGAGGTGCCAGGCTGTGGTGTTCCTGGGTGGGGGGTGCTTGGGCGTGGGGTGGCAGGGCGTGGAGAGCCTTGGTATATGTTACCCGGGAGCACTGTGCCTGGGTGAGGGGACGGAGATGGAGAGGGAGGTACCTGGAGTGATGGTGATGGGGCAGGGGAAGCCATCAAGGCATTTGAGCCAGGGTAGGATGTCCACTGCTGGGGGTAAGGGGAGGGCTGCTGCTGGGGATGCTGGTGAAACTGCTGCTTTTCCGGGTTCAACGATGAGGTTTCAGGACTTGGTTTATGGTTTCGATGGCTGTCCCAGTTTGTGGGAACAATATTTCCATTGAGCTTGTGCCCGGGCCAGGCAGTAGGCTGGGTGATGCCGCTAGGTGTGTTAGCCCTAGCCTGGTTCGGCACTGCGCCTTCATAGACTGGCACATCCATAGGCTCCTGTTTGATTAATGGAGTGCCTCTGTTGGAGGGCTCAGAGGAGACAGAGGAAGGACGGGATTGGTTGTAGTCTGCAGGCTGGGCGTAAGCGCTATGGTTTGGTTGGTTGGTATGCTCTGGTTGGCCACAGTAGGACTGGGCCAGTCTGGCTTGAAGGCTCTGAATATCAGGTTTCTTGTCTACCTGGACAGCCTTACCGCCTGGTTTGGGCAAAGAGCCATTTCGACCCTCGTAGGTCCTCAGCTTAGGGGGAAAAAGTGCATTGGGGGGGTAGTTGTAGTAGCCATAGTGCACTGCGGGCAGATTGGGTGGTGGATGGTAACCGTTTACTTGGTCTGGTGCAGAGGGCTGGCCAGTTGGGGGGAGGCCTCCCCTTGCATAGTAGGCAGGGTGTGGATAAATGTTGTTGAATGGGTCTGCTGCCTGCACAGGGTATCCATCTATTGACCCATTGAAGGGCTCCTTCTTGATGTTGGGCTTCATCTCTTGTTTTATAATTGCTGAATATTTGAAACAAATGAAAGGCAAATTACAGACCAAACTTCACGGGTCAAGGCATTTTATTTTTTTATTATTTATATATTTTGTAGGCCTTTATTTTGGAGGTCTGTTACACCTGGTTGCAGGTTAAGGTAAATGCATTGCAGGCTACCAGAGGAGGCCCAAAGTCAAGCAACAAATAATTAGCCTTAAGCTCTGGACACATGTTGAACACAATCAAAGTATTTCAGGAGTGACACAAAACAATAACTAACCTTTATTGCCTTGGGGTTGAGGGGATCGGGTGATGCAGACCTCAGCCTTGACCACTACTTTCTCCGGCGTCTCCCCTGCCTGCTGCATGAGTTTACTTTTCTTCTTCTCTGAGGCGGCCTTCTTGGCCTCTAGTCGGCGCTGTCGGCAGGACTTGGCAGGTTCAGGCAATTTGCGCACTTCACGGCGGAAAGTCTGAAGCACCTGGATGCCACCAGTCTGCATCTTGAGGCGCTGGGCCTCCTCATTGCCGAACTCATCAGTCGGGGAGATCTTGTACAGAGGCAACACATGAAGCTGCTCGTCATCAGGAATTTCCCCCACTGCACGGTTGTCCTCCTTAGTTAAAGTGCACACCTAACAGAGAGGGGAAGATAAAATGTAAACTGTGCCAAGCTGCAGAACATTAGCACTGTTCATTTAGCTTATTTAGTTTCACACAAAAAAGATAACATTTCCTTTTATTTCTTTTATTCACCTCAAGTTAACCACAAAACACAAATTTAAGTTTATAGTGAGTGATCTTACCACTGTGCAACCATTGTGGAGGTTGTGCTGGTCTTTATGAGCGTGGGCACAGAAGTCCATGCAAGCAGTGACTCCAGAGAAGGGTCTGCCCTCGTTTAAGCCCAGCCTGCACTCTGGAGCTTTTGACTCTGACTGGCACTGAGGGAGAGGACAGTGACAGGAAGGAAGTTACGTTTTTATGACCTTACTTTAATTAAGGATGGACACACATAGTAGTTAAGTTTCTTTTTTTGCCATTCTAAAAGGTTGTATTAAGTGACAGAACCGGTTTTGATGGTCTGATGTACAGAACAACTCACTGCAAATAAATTGAATTGTATGTAAAAAAGATGAGGTGTAGTTGGTGATGGTATGAGGTTGTCATTGTGTAAAGACTTTGCCTGTACAACAAACCTGGTTACTGTATGCCTGTGGGGCCAGCCGTTTGTACAAAGGAGCCACCTCAGTTGCCAGATGCTGAAAGTTATCCCTGAGTTTGTCTTCCTGCCAAACAAAAACATGGACCACAGGTCAGGACAAAACACAGATACAGACCTATGAAATGGTGGCGTAAAATTACTAAAGATTACAAAGGTGAGTAAACTCTAAATTAAACAAGAGTTTAAAAACCCTAGTTCATTATTACAAGTGGCTGTGATGTAATGAGTACCTCTTCAGGGTGATCTCCTTGTAGCCTGAACTTGCGTGGCATTTTGCTTCGGGCGTACTTACAGCCATTAAAGTACATACTCCAGGAGCAGCCGAAGGAGAAGGAAGCACCACAACTTTCGGGATCCTTGCCTTGACACGCACAAGTACGACTGCAGGGGGAGACAGTGAGCATACTCTCAGCTTCATGTATAAATTATGTGTAACCCATGCATGCTTTACATCATGTGAACACTGTGTGTCAACTGAGCTGAGTGGGATATAAAAACATGATTGAGAATGAAAGAAATGCCAAATGAGGAAACTCATTGAACAAATCTTAATTTTATTTTACACCTATACAGTATATGTATAACACACTCATATTGGGTCATAAATTAGGCAAATACACTGTAAAGTACAGGTGCACACATCTGGTGAGGAAGAAGCATGATTTAGATTTTGTTGCACAAACAAATGATTTGTTGATTTTGGTTGATTTTAACTGCATGTCTGGAGTTTTAACTTTTCCACATGAGTACAGATTAGACAATAGTCACCTTCTTGTAGGACTTTGTGCGTAAACTCAGCCACATTTTTTAGATTCCTTGGTGACATGAGTCTTCCTCATACTCCTGATAAAGTTGACTTGAGATAAAATAGTTTAGCACATGCTTATATATAGGCATATGTGCAGTGAAGGTGCAATGATGCAACATCAAGCTGAAATACAGACAGCCTGTTGTTTGCACATTCACGGACCTATAAGTCAGAAAACCAGTGTCAAAGAGCACCGATCAGCTACTCACTCATCATTTAGGCCGCAGCGTCGGCTGGTCGGGTTGCCATATTTGGTGAGGGTGTCACTGAGCTCACGGTACAGCTTGTCAGCCAGCATCTTTGGGACACCTTCCCAGGCCATGATGAGGATGATGATGACAGCGTTGGCACAGTGGTGGCCTGCGCGCTGACGCACCAGACAAAGCAGCTTCTCTGTCTCGCTGCTTCGACGGATCACCTGGAAAAAACAGAGCTCATTATTTTAGCTTTTACTTACACAGGGAAATTTGCATGAAATGAAATGTCAGTTGGATATTGTATCAGTATTGTTGTTTCTGAATTTGTTAGTAATAAACATTTGTGCTTACAGCGCAGTCACCTTCACGTACATGCTTTTCAAATACTGTGCAAGACACAACGCAGTAAATGCTTACTCTGCATTTTGGAATTATATTTTGATACCTGTGCTGAAATCTGATCTGCTTTGGTGAAAGGTACCAGTCCTAATTCTCCTTAAGTTGCTAAAGGTTAAATTAAATTAGCTTTAGAGTTGATTCACATACTATAAAACATATACTGGTACCAGAAAAGACAAATGTCTGTTGATTAGTGCACCTCATCTCTACAATCCTCCTCCTCTCTCTCTCTCTCTGTGTCAAACACACACGCAGCCACACTCACCCTCCTTCAGTACAATCCATAAAGTCATTAGCAGGAAGTGTCAGGAGTGACACGTGAGGGAAGGGCAGCTAGTTAGAGTGAGCAAAGAGTGAGACCTCCTACTGATTTACTTACTGTGGGTAACAAACTTGGCTGAGTGTCTCCCCTCATGATAGACAGATAAACATACACACACACACACACACACACACAAACACTGCATGAATCTGTTGTTGATTGGCTGTCATTGTTGTCAGGTGGGATAAAAACCCTAAAACACATTCTCTGTCTTACTTTACATTCTTTTTAAACATAAAATCAAACACAAAACCAAGATTACCGAGGGGACTGCCTCTTTTCCCACTGCACTCACCTACTTTGGAAGTTATGTACTGCGATGCCTTCATCACCTCTGCCATGTGACGAAAAGTTTTTCAAACATCACATGGCAGATGTGATATTATGCTACTTACCCATTTTGCAATAGGACATCCTCGTGAGCTCTTTCCCTCTTTGCCTGTGTACACCACCTTCTCAATCCGAATGGCATCCCCTTTCTCTCCATACCTACAAAGAGGCAGAGAATTAGTTATTTCAATGTTCATCCACTTCAGCACTTGGTGTTTGGAGCCAGAATGGCCTCCAGCCCTGAAGCCTGACTTTAGAGCTCTGACAAGCCAAGCTGACCATTCAAATGTCACTACACTTGAAACACACGCTGTAGTCTTTTTTGTGTGTCAGGGCCCTAAGGGCCAAGAAGGCGACCTCAAAGAACTGATGCTGACAAAAGCTGACTGATCAAATGCTTTGCTTTGTTTCTTATGGCCTCACGTGTTGAAAGTTGCACTGGTACACACCACAAAGACTACAGCCAGTCTGGATGTGTGTTCTGTACCTGTGTTCACAATCCAGAAAACACTGAAACATCTTCAAACAACTAATTTACTGACCTGAATTATGTGATATAAATCACTTCCAATGGTACCACATTGCAAAAACTATGGGTGACGCATGGCCACATGCTCAGGAACAGGCCATCAGAGCCTCAGCTGCCCAATGGTGACTTGGTGCATCAGTGCTGTAATAGGAGACACAATCCTGTTTTGTAATAATTAATCGATTACTTATTTTTGTCATGACTGACGTCACTGAGAGTTTTTCTTATTTATTTCCAGCTATTGCTTTTGCCTGTGTTTCTCTGGACCTGTGGTATTGTCTGTGTGCCCACAGAAGTCTACTGGAGTAGTCGTATCTGTCAACTCTAACAAAGACGGGCCAACCTCAGCACTTCTGGCTGGAGAGGAGTGTTCACGAGGCTCTGCTGAGATTCACACAAGGACGTCAGTGTAAACCAGAACCCACCAGCTTCTACACAATGCCAACCACAGGGCTTCACTTGGAGATATTCCTCTGCTGGAGTTGTCCACATGTGCATGCATGAATTCATTTCCTGTTCACATTTCTGTATTTGTTATGTGTGTGTTTGTGTCTGTGAACACTTGCTTGAGTGAATAATAGAGTGATGGGAGTGATGGGAGTGGTAGACTGCCCACCCCTGGGTATAGTGTGGAGGTGTATAGGAGAAGGGACGGGTCAAAGGTTGTGTTGGGTTGGGGGTGGGCCATCAGAACTTGTCAGATGCCATATCAGGTCGCCTGGCTGCTTGATACCTGCCATTGTGAAAACTTCAGCCCTGAGCAGATTTGGCATGACAGTGAACACAAGGAGCTCCTGCTGAATAGGAATCACCCCGGGGGGGGTGGGGGTGGGAGAGTGGGAGGGGAGTAGGCTCTAGCACCACAGGGGTGGCCTGCTAGGGTCAGGGGTGGGTCAAAGGTCAGCTAGGGACTATGGGGTCTTCACATCTTACATCATCTCTCAAAAAACAAAAGATGGTCCCTGGCCTAACATCCCCCCTCAACCTGTCCTCTCCAGGGACTAAGGACTCACTGGTCTTATTGAAAACCAGGCTTTAAGTAAATAACAGCCAAATATGAGCCTCAATAAGGCATCCAGTTATAGGCAGTTACTACACTCAGTCACTATAACACCCTCACATCGTGTTAACCAAGCTACGACAACCACGGCAGTTCCTCATTCACCATTATCGCATTCAATCAGTGATATGTTTTAATGAGATAACCCAACAACAATTCCATTATAGAGGCTGTAGCTGCACTTTGGTTATTAAAATCACCAGCAGGGGAGCTTCCTGGTGCTCCTTCCTGAACTGAATAATAATCCTCTAAAGATCAAACTGCTGAGCTCAATCTGTCTTTTTATGACAATGTCTACTGATGCATTGCAGACAAAGCAACAACAGTTTATTGGATTAGTTTGATGAGTCCTGATGGCTAACACTGCATGTCGTCTGTTTCTTTATCTTATCTTCAGTTTGACTGTTAGATCAAAGTTAGATTTGTTTGTGCATTAATTGCATACAAAGAGTTATCAAACACCAGGTTCTAGCCTTAATTAATAGTAAAGGGCTGTTATATAATAAAAATGACTGAATTTGATCTTAGTACTTAGTAAAATAAATACTTTCTACTAAAATTTCTTCCTCTCTTCTTCCCTCCTTTCCTTCCGACTTCTTCTCCCGCCATCTTTCTCTGTTTCTCTCTCTGATTGGATTTCTATCCTTCGTCTTTCTCCCTCATTCTTCTCATTCTCAGCTATCATCCACTGCTACTCCTGTGCTTCTCGCTCTGCCTCTGATATGCTGATGATGCTGATATTTTCTGTTCCTCCTACTGGATTCTGGGTCACAGATTCCCTAAGGACAAAATGTGAGGAGGAGGGAAGGTGGAGAGAGAGGAGGAGGAGGAGGAGGAGGGAGAGGCATAGGATAGGGAAAGCAAGAACATGTGGGAGGAAGAGAAGAGAAGAGAAGAGAAGAGAAGAGAAGAGAAGAGAAGAGAAGAGAAGAGAAGAGAAGAGCTCACCTTGTCTCCATCAGATTTCGTATGGAGGCTACAGTAGGTCCAGATCCCAGGTGGTTGTAGTAGGGACCTTCATCTTTCTCCAGGATTTGCTCTAGAAAAAGAGAAAGTACAGAGTGAGGACACAACACATCAGTAGACCTGAAAAGCCCTGTATCAATTTACACATATAAATGTCAACAGTTAATCCTGGCATCAATAAACAATCGATTCCATTTGGTATAGATAACTTACTCATTCTTTTACTAATGGTGTATATTCACAACCACTGAGTCTATCTAAATATGACTATCATATTATTGGCCGGTCTTTCATTGTGAGTTAATACTATACTTTATGATTCATTTTCAGCTTTCTCATCTGACCATCATAGAGGAAGTGAGGCAAAATTTGACTGACTTTACTAGCATGTGTTTAGTTGCTGGGTTTAAACACAGACATTGATAGATTAGAGAGCAGCTCGGCTAATGGTCACACATTTTTGTTGACTGTTTTTCCTAAAATCTTAGAGATCATTTGAAACTACTACTAGACAATCAACAGCACAAAAAACTCCTATGTGGTGGAGACTACTTAGGTTTTATAAATGTTTTTGCAAATTGCATTGATCAAATAACTAATTTCTCTGCCTTTTACCAGTACGTCGATAAAGTCCTGCTTGAAGCTAATGGGTGTTTGGCTCATTAAACTGAGTAATGTCTCGCTCAAGCTGCAAACATTTAACAGAAAAGGTCTGTTTACCTCAGTAAAGATTGAAGCTTTGACTTTGCATGTTATTACAGTTTCTGTATATTTTTGTACAAGGTACAAAAGTACAGCTGATGTGTTTTGATGTATTTTTGGAAAAAAAGACACATGAGAAGTGTGAGAATGTGCTATGGATTGCAACATCTAGTTCCCACAAACAAATGAACGCACATACCCTCCCCGCGACAGTGGGCTGTGACTGCAGGGTGTGGTGCCTGAGTGGAGATACTTTGCAGAGCAGAAGATTTTTGAGGTAGGCATGAATGACTCAGTGTATGTCAGTATTAAGAGGGACTAAGGGTGTGTCCTTAGTGCACCCTGTGTACATCTGTGTTTATGTTGGATATGAGTGTGTGAGTGCATTTGACCATTGTCCTACACGTATCTTTGGTATGTAATACAGTACAGCGGAATGTATCTTACATTAACTGTATTTAGACTCTAATGGACTGTACATTGTCTTGCTTTGTAACATCTTAGTATGTGTTTTAAAACAGGATTGTTTGGCAGCTAAAACAGTTGTTGCTCTTGCTTTCTTTACATAGCACCTCTGTATCATCTGTAGTGGATAATAGCATTAGCTAAATGCTCACTACACTATCAGCTGACTATCTGAAATGTGGACATGCACTCAGAGCTGAGTGTGTGTCTCTGGTTCAAAGGCAACATGAGGTCACATTCCCGTTGGTGCAGGGAGGCACCAGGGCGTGGCTCAGGGCAGGAAGTGGAGGAGTCACACTAAATTCTTGCGTGGGAATTGTGGGCTTGTTTTTATATCCTGAATACACACTAACCAAAGAGGACTCATGTCACAGTGGAGATGAAGGTCCCCCTGGGTAGAGACTGCTTTTTGAGACTTTAAACATGGCTTTAGGATTAGGGTTAGAGTGGTGTGTGTGTGTGTGTGTGTGTGTGTGTGTGTGTGTGTGTGTGTGTGTGTGTGTGTGTGTGTGTGTCTATCATGAGGGGAGACACTCAGCCAAGTTTGTTACCCACAGTAAGTAAATCAGTAGGAGGTCTCACTCTTGTGTGTGTGTGTGTGTGTGTGTGTGTGTGTGTGTGTGTGTGTGTGTGTGTGTAATCATGGTTGTATACTGTGTTGGAAGCAGTCTCATTCCAGAGTGTTGTTGTGCCAACAAGGAGTTGACAGAGCCGTGTGTAACCAAGCTTTACCATGAAGACTGTTGTGCTTTAACTGCACACAGCTAGCAAGTGTTTCGCTGCAGCTGCTCTCCCCCTGCTGTGCTCTCCCTTCAGTGTTTAGGGACAACTAGGGTCTATTTACCAGACCTTAACCCTTCATAGCCCTGCAGTTAACACCCAGTGACAACAGGAAAATGATAGTCATTTATTAATTGCTTCTCTGAGAACAAAATATTTCATTATTCAGTTCAAGTTAATGAACTGTTACCAAGAGCAGCTACAATAGTAATACTCTGGTTTGCTGAGTTATTAATTAATGACTTAATGGACAGAGACAGGCTGGGTCTATTTAAATAATAAAGACCCAACCTTTTACACTGTAATGATGCAGGGGCATATTGAAGGGTAAATCCACCTGGACTAACTTTATCGACCTGTTTAGGCTGACAAACATTTTTACAAGTATATTTATTTCCTCATTTATTTCAAATTTGTAGTATATAATTTGGTCAATACATTTCCATACACCTCTACTGTAGGACCACCAATTCTGTTGTAAATAAATAACCTGCGCAGGATTTTACCCAAACCACGGGACTGAACTCTTTCTGTTAAACAAAGACTCTGTTCTGCTTCTCTGCCAGATCCAAACCCACTTTTCTGTGGGACTGTGTCTGCTATTGTTCATACCCGCTGCCTTCATTGCCTCACACTGTGACAGTATGAACGGTCGCAGCCACACAATCCAGGGTACTTTTCAAAAAAGCCTTTACTATCTAACACTGGTCAGATTTCCTGTATGTACAGATTTTTGTATTTAAATTCATCTCCACTCAGAGAGGATTGGGTAATGTTTGGAGTTGTGTGATATTTGTTTGAACATTACTGATGTGTCTGAAAAGTGCTTATGCAGTCAGCCACCTCATCCCTCTGCATACCCTGAGGCACTGACAGACACTAACACACTGACTTACCCACACAGGTGCAGGTGGGGAACTCTGCCTGTAGGTCCTTGGAGGGAGTATCCAGCAGGCTCTTGGTGGGGCTGTCCAGGTAGCGCAGAGGAGACTCTAGGAAGCCTCTGAGAGATGGTGAAGAGGGCAGACTGTCCTTAGTGGGCGTGTCCTCCTCAGAATAGCATGTGGTGGACAGTACTGCTATATCACTCGTTGCTTCAAGCTTCATGCGTTTAGGCATCGGGGAACATGGCATGCTGAAGTTATCCTCTAACACACTGGGCTGCTGCTGCTTGTCCATACCGGCCTCCTGACGCAGGGAGATATGGAGGGGCCCCTCATTCTGCTCCTCCACAGGGCTTTCTGTGGATGCCTGGTTCAAGGTTGCTTCGCTTTGGGTCCCTGACTCGTCCTTGCTGACCTCCATCTCCTGATCGTTTGGATGAGGTGCCGAGCTGGCTTGAGTGGTGAGACTTAGAGGAGCCGATAGGGAGGTGGATGATGATGTGGGACTGAGGACCTGAGGACTGGTCTGGGACTGATTCCCCTGCTGAGGGGCTGTAGCAGTGAGCTGACTTGCAGATGCATCTGGGGCTGAGTCCCCAAATTCAGCCTCAAACTGGCGGATCAGTTCTTCGTACTTAGGGTCTATGTTGATAAGACTCTGTAACTGTGAGGTGCTGGATGGAAATGTGGAGGTCAGAGGTATGGTGGTGCTGGTGTTACTGGAGGCTAGGCTGCCCGCTCCTTCTGACTTAGCATGGGCTACAGGGGCCACAGGTGTGGGCAGAGGGCCCATGAGGGCTGGAGTGTTTTCTGACAAAGCAGAAACAGTGGAAGAGGGAGTCATTGAGGAGTTGGAAATGGATACCTGAGATTGGGCTGGGGCAGGGAGGCCTGCAGCAGCAGCCTGAGTGGAGTTACTGTGGAGGGGCAGAGAGGGGAGGCCTGCTTGCAGGCTGGTCAGGGCCAGGGCTCTGTCCATCATGAGGACTGGTGGTTTCTGTATGGAAATCTGAGTCTGAGGCAGGAAGGTTGGCATGGAGGCTTTCTGCTTAGTCTTCTTGATGATTATCTGTTTGGGTTTGGGCAGGGGAGGGCCTGTAAGCATCCCACTCATAGCTTTTATGACAGGAGATCCCTGGCTGCTTTTTTTCTTCTTGGGTTCCTTAGGTTCCTGTTTGATGGCCAGATGTGGCAAACCTTCTGCCTCCATCTGCGGCCACCATTTTTTCAAGTTTTGGCAAGCCAGAGGTGGACGTGGGCCCGGTGCTCCAAAGCCAGGGGAGTGGTTCGAGAAGAGGTTCCTCTTGTAGTGAAGGTGCTGTTGCAGAGCTGCCTGAGTGGAGTGGCTGATGGCTGCTTGGCCAGGTGACAGGGGAGTGCCAGGGTAGTGCTGACCCTGCTGCTGACCATTAGCCATGCCATAATGTCCCATGGAGGCAGTGTGATGGTAGTGCTCACCAGAGTCTGGCTCTTGCTTTACTCTGGACAGTGCTGGGTGATCCTGGGCCTGGATACCTCCATTCTGGTTCACGCTGAGCTGCTGTGTGACTGGAAGCTTGAAAGAAGCATTGATGAATTTGCCACTGGTGTCACCAAGCAGCTGTTTGAGCTCTGACATAGGGTCTGAGCTACTGTGAGGTGCAGCGGCGAAGTGAGACTGGGGCTCAGACTTCACACACATCCATGGGTTCCTCTGTTCAGAGCCTCTGCCTGAGCTCTGTTGCCATTGCTGGGGATTGGGGCTGAAGCCTGGAGGTTTTCCCTGACCTGGGAAGGGAGAGGTAGAGGAAGGGAGAGGTGTAGCATGGGGTGGCTGGCCCTGGGACTGGGGCCTGTGGTGCTCACAGGACACTGGGGCCTGCTGGCTGGTGTGTAGTCCTGGAGGGACGGACTGAGAGCGTGAGGAAGATGAGTGGCTGCCAGGAGAGGGTGGGATCAAGCTAGAGCCATTGGGAGGCTGGGATGGGAGGTTCTGGAGATGTGGGTGGTGATGGAGGTTACTGTTGTAGGGGGTTTGACCTGGAGAGCCAGAAGCTTGTGGACTGGTACCAGATAGCTGAGTCAGGGCTTCTATGGCAATGGCTGTCTGAAGACTGATGTTCTTTTCCTTGGCTATGGAAAGCACCTGGGGAGAGCAAGGAATTGGGGGTTTGGAGCAGGGCACTTGGTCTGGGTGAGGGCCTTGAGTTCCCTGTTGCTGCTGGGAGTATGAAGTAGGCATACGGTGACCACCATTCACCTGGGGGTAGGGCTGAGGGTGATGCTGCAAAAGAGGTTGCTGTAGATGAGGCTGTAGGTGTGGGGAAGCTTCAGCCATCTTGCTGGCACCTTGATCCTCATTGGTTGCCAACTTAATCTTCTTCTCCAGCCACTCAAGGTAGTCTGGACAGTCAGGCCCGTCACAGTTGCAGTTAGGGGGCTTGTGTCCATGTCTGGCTTGGCTCAGTGCTGTCTGTAGGGTGTTCAGATCTTCTGGAGGTTGGCGGCTTCCCTCAGGAGCCCCTTTAGAGAGTCTGGCTTGAGCCCCCTCAGCACCCATCTCCTGGGTGAACCTCTCGTATAGCTGGGCTGTGTTGGGCTGCACGAGAAGGCAGGAAGAGGAGGAAGAAGGAGGCAAGGAGCCAGCAATAGCAGAAAAAGCCACCAGATTGTGGGCATCCTCCACATTTGCATGGTGGACAGGTTCACCAGGGGTCGCACCACTGCTGCTGTTCCAACATGGCTGCTGTTGTTGGGTGTCACTGACCTTGCCATGTCCTGCCACCCAGCACTGCCTTGGAGGCACGCTTCCTGCCCTCTGCTGCTCCGTTTCCATAGATGCCTCATCATCGTTATGGTAGCGATTCACCCCATTGGCCAGTTCCAGGCTCAGCACGCCTTCCTGGAGGCGGTCATGTGACCCAATTTCCATCTGGCCTCCACTTCTGGGGCCATCCACTGAAGTGACTTCGCGAACAGTCTGAAAGACACATATGGAGAAAGGTCAGTGAGGTTATAAGAAGACATTGAATCCTGGACTGACATGAAAAAACACACTATACACTATGTTTGGCATGACCACCCAGTGTTGCCCATATGTATTTAATAATCACTGTAAATTACTAAAATTAATTATTATGATTCATCTGTATTCCAAGAATAATTTGACATCAACCATCAATGTAAAGTCAGACTCCATTCCCTTCTTCCCAGCTGTTTTCCAGGCTTTCCCTCCCACCTCTCACACATACAGAACATACAGTGCTGCAGGGTCAGGTCAGTTGGGCTGAAGGAAACATGAATTAACTATGGCTTCAAATGGAGTGATTTCACAACAAGCATGTTTTGTCAAGCAAGTCACAGGTCATGTGACATAGTTTGACTGTTATCTATAAATGGACACCTCTCCAGATCAGTTGGGGTTATGCAAAGCAGACAGTTGATGTTAAAACATGTGCCCCATGGTTTTGGGAGAATCTGTGTTGGGGTATTAAATCCACACTGAGGGGTGAGGAAAACAAAATACAATACACAGAATTGCTGCAAGGTAGAAAAAACCTCAGTCCAATTCCAAGAAATGTTCATTTCTATCATTTATTAAAATCTAGAACTAGTTCTTAAACTGTTTAGATATTTTAGAAATATTCTTTAGAAATAGAAGTATACTGTATTTGATAACATGTATATGCTTAGTGTGAATTTCTTTCATCAGCCAAAATCAGATACTGATTAAATTTTTATGGTCTTTGTGGAGTTATTGTTGCAATTGCTTCTGTTTTAACTTTGAAAGAGAAAGTCTACTGAAATATGTTTTCAAACTGTTTGTAATGTGCTTGTTGATGCTAATCTGAAAAATTATTTTAGCAGCAAACTGAAAGCGTGCAGTGAAACTCATTCACTGGAGCGATTATTATAAACCCAAGAAACTTTCAACCAAAACAGTACCTTAAATGGCAAACCTAAAATGACCTGAATATTTGAAGACCAGTATGCAATGCTAAGATAATCTTTAGCCTACAAGACAGCACCTCATCTAAGACAACTAAAGTGAACTGCTGACAAAGTGTAGAGCTAGAAAAACTAAAATTCTTCCTCAAAAGGCTGAAAGAAAATCTTCTTTGAACTTGAACTTGTGTTAGTCATTAGTTATTTGGTCAGGACCCTCACATAGAGGGTTTAACCATTAATTGCAAAAGAATGAAATGAAGTTTGGTGGTGTGGCTCTGTTCACGTGACGCTCTGAAACAATGTGAGAAAATCCTCCAGCAGAGCCTGAGACACACAACATTTGATAAACACGAACAATTATTAGAGAAAAATTCAAAAGTTACAACCACATGCTGATATAAGAGGAGCCTGGGGAGATGGAGAGAGTTAAACTGTATGAACATCTATATGGAAAGTCTGGTGTTTGAGATGTGGTGGACATATATGACTTGAAGGTAAATGAAACACATAACTATAAAAAACACTTGTTTTCCTGCATGAGCTACCGTAGTGCTACCAAAGGTCATGTTATGTTGAGAAACTGGTGAAGTAAGGGAGTAACTGAAGAAAATATTCAGGTGTGACTTGACTTTGCAGCACAAGACCTGAACCTGACTGAACTTCTCTGGAAACATTTGAGGAAGGAGAAACACACTACACCATCATAAGAGACCCTGTGGGATTTTCTGGCCTCTTTGCGAACTTGACTCTAATCCTCATTTTAATTTACTTTATATGAAGTGTAATCTTGAGAAACACAAATTGACAAAACATTTCTTTGTTTTCGATGATGAAACGATGGAGCTCTTTTAAGAGTATGGCCCATGTACTGTATTGAATAGGGGCTTCTTTCAATACAAGTCGTGTGGCTGTACAAACAATTCATATTTTACAAATAATGCTTCCACACAAATATTTGTCCTTTCTCTCAAATATAAAGTATAAAGCAGCAACCCCTTGCTCCTGATATTTGACAAAGGCTCACCTTCCCCACCCCAAACCACCTGCTCTACAACAGGACAGCTAACTGCACCTGGTATAAATGGACACAGATGGTCATTTTTAAACTGCAGTATTCATTGCAGTCATTGCATCCCAGCATACAACATCAGAAAATATAAAATGCAGAAGTACTTTGTAGACACGCTGTTTGGGAGTCACAAATAAGTGAGGAATTCCTTCATTTTTCTGTTAAATGCAATGCACTTTATTATCAGCCATTTCAGTAGGTTTCCAGACCTTCTCAGAAATGTGCTGACACCAATCAGGAGCTGATCAGTGCAGCCATATACATGTAACTCACTTCCTCTCTCAGTCAAAACTGGGACGGTTGTCACATTCGTAGTCACACTGAAATACATCACCTGACCCTGTGTCAAATTACATTTTCGAAGAGTTCTGTTTACTTAACTCTGCTTGAAGCACCAGTTTGGTGAGTGTAACCACGAAACTGTGAAAGAGGTGTGGACAGTAACAAAGTAATGTTGTTACATTTGTCTAAATGAACACTAATCTGATATGTTAAAGCCAAATATGTTGCTCCAGTTCACCTGAATTCTATTCTTTATTAGTCATAAACAGTATTCAGCCCAGGTTAGCTCCTCATATATTAAAATTAAATGAGTCTGAGAGAAGAACAGCAAACAAAGATAATCCAAGGGCAGACTGAGAAATCATTGACAGAGTTCATGTTGTGGCTGAACAGCGTATTCCAACATGTCTAATTGCTATTGTATGAGGAAAACACAAAACTCGATATGAATATATTTTCTGTAGAAGCCAACGCTGTACTAATAACCTTTTTGGTGTCAAAGTCTTCTACCTTTGTGTTTACTATAAACAGAAAAGACACCCTGAACAAGCACCTGCTGTGAGCTTCACACTCTGCAGATAGTGTTAACTGTGAATGAAACTTCCCTGCATCAAGCATGATCCTTCCCTGCCAGGAGACATAACAAATACTGCACTGTAACAATGTGATGGAGATATAAATAATTCCTTACACATACACACAACTCACACTAAAGTCAAGCCAGCTGACCGTCTCACACCCCAGCATAAACGTGAACTAGTTCCTGATTCAGATAGATGTGAACCACCCAGTATCCCATCATCTCCAGCCAGGAAAAAAGAAAGAAGATGGCTCCTGTTTGTAGATCCATCAGTGTGTGACAGTAGAACTGAGCCTGACGTCCAGCTTCCCCGACATTTGAATATCATTGAAATGAGCCTTTGAAGTGGGTAATTACTGGACAGGCAGTGTGCTCGGCTCTTTTGAATCCACCTTCTGCGCCGGGTGTCTGATGGGAGTCCCAGGGGGTGGCGGTAGTATTGATGAGAGGTGGTGTGGGCTTGGGGTCGGGGGTGGAAGCGAACAGCCGGCATGCAATACGTGAGAGGCCCCATGTCTGCACTATCAGCGGCATCAGACGGGAAAGAGGAAGGGGGGGTGGAGGGGGTAGCTAGCTGTGCACGGCAGTTATGAGAACTGCAGTGTTGAAACAGTGACTGCAACACTGCACAACCAAACATCCCACAATCATGCACTGTCAGTCACACAGCCACTCTCTTTTCCTCTTTTTTCTCACAGTTAGCTATACAAAACACAACCACAGGCTAAAGTCACATGGGTTTAAAGCACCTCATGCTCAACATTTAGAGCAAATTGATTTTTCCGGTGCAGATAACAAATACTACACCACACATACAAAATAACATTTCTTTGAATCCTCATATAATCTGAGCTTTGATTAACCTTGACTGGTTTGTTCATGACTCTATACACCAGTCCAGGCAGGAAATGCTACACTCACACCTGCAGCGCATAACACCTAGGACAGACCACGTGCTTTGACAAATATTTACACCGCGACAGAGCTTACTCTCTCGCAAGGACTCTATCCCTGACTCTCTAACTGTGTCACTCTATTTCACACACAAACACACGCATTTTGTACAAGCTTGACAAAACAAGTGTATCAAAAAACATCAACACAACTTATTATATCAGATCTTGCAGAACCCGCTAGACCAGGCACTTGCGTCTGGGAGCCCTTTAAACAAGATAAGCCTTTACAGCTCTGTGTGGGAGCAAAGCAAGTGCTATTGAACACTGACACTGCAAAAAAAAAAAAAACTGGAGGAGGACATAAAGTGTGTAAAGATATTGCTGGTGGTGGTGAGGGGGTTAAGTTCAGCTCGCGAATAGACAGCTGAACCTAAATCCTTGATACACAACACTCCCCATCCTCCCTCTTGTCCTCCTCCCTCTCCCCCCACCCCTTCCTTTGCTGCCGTGCTGAGCAGGAACATGAAGCAGAGACACTGACAATATGAAGCCGGCTGAGGGCTCGAGGACCTGCGACGCATACTTACGTGATCCTAGACGTCCAGACGGAGCTGCCGGTCGAAGAGCAGAAAGCAGAAGAGGAGACAGAGAGGAGCATGAGACTTGCTTGCCGGCACACAGCAGCCTACAAGCAGTCCAGCCTTGTTGGGTTGTTCCTTTTTATTTCTTCCAGTCTGTGCAGTGCACAGACAGAGCGAGTGCCGAAATACACATGCATGCATTCACACACGCACACACTGCCAGCCACACACACACAACACACCTCCCCCCAGCACAGCACACACGTTTCTCATTCTCTTGCCTCTTCTTATGGCCGATGCTTTCTGTTCTCTCCTTTTTCCTTTCTCATTATCTCTGTCTGCTCCTCCCTTCCTTTTTTCAATATCCTCTTTCTTTCTCTCGGCTACACATGCAGTCGGCTTCTCTTCGCAGCCCCCACCTTCCCCTCTCTCTCTCTCTCTCTCTCCCCCTCCCTCCCTCCATTCCCCTCCCTCTCACGCAGCCTCTCCCTCCATCTCCTCTCCTCTCTCTCTTCAGTGTGTGCAGAGCGAGAGGCCATTATCTGAGCCACAGCGGGCACGTACGATGGAATGGAGGAGTGTGCAGTGAGC